TGTATGTATGTATGTATGTATGTATGTATGTATGTAATTGTATGTATATGTATGTATGTATATTTATGTATATGTATGTAAATGTATATGTATATGTATATGATATGTATGTATGTACGTATGTATGTATGAGCGTGGGTCCTTGGGGAAAAGTTACAACCGTCTTGAGAAACACATGATGTCAGGCTTGCACACAGGATTGGTTTTAAAAAACAAGAAATATTCCTTCAAAGTGTAGTAGTATGTATTTGTTCACGGCATAGTCACTTCTTCGCTATTGTCTGCATCTTCTGACCTAGGCCGGCAATTTGGACTGTGTTTTTTTCTGCTCCTGCTTTTCCTGCCTTTGGTAGCTTGTTGCTTTTGCTTCTGCACAGCTTGCGTCCTTCCTTCCTTCCTTCCTTCCTTCCTTCCTCGAAGACAACAGAGCCTGGAAAAAGAAAACACGTTGGATAAAACAAAACACAGAAAATGGGGTTCCCCTTGAATTTGTACTTGTGCTAATGAAGTGTGTCACCACTGGAACTCAAACGATGCTGCACCCGAAATCATCAACAGCTTGTTCTTTGGAGGCCCTCAGCAGTTGCCCTAGGAAAAAAAGCCTTCTAACCTTTCTCCACATGCTTAGTGGGGAAACCAATACCCTACAAACTGGGTAGGGTTTCTTGTCTTGTTGTCCCTCTTCACAATGCCCACGTCAACCAGAAACATCGCCATCTAGCCTAGCCTAGTAACATCGATCTCACGGCCTTCGACTGATGAGCACCGTAAAGCAAATATTGAATGTGAATACTCTCCCGCAAAGTAACATGGAACCTGAGAATCGACCAGAAGGTCATTGTCCTCTACAACCCAGTGGTTTTGGGGTTCCATGTTAATCTGCAGAGGAGTATGTCCTGGATCTTGAAATCCAACCTGTCAATGTGGAGATATGGAGAGATGGACCAGAAATTAGACCAGGGTACAGTTGCCCCTATTGCTCCACAATGGGGCCTTCCTCCGTTGGCCACACCCTTTCAGTGGTCCAATCTCGGTCACTCAAATCAAATCACGTACATCCATTCACCTACATCACCTACATCTACCTGCTCTGGGATTTATCCAAAGCTTTCTGCCTTTGCCAATGTGCGCCTTCTCCAGAAACCTCATGGGCTGCCAACCACAAGCTGTGGCCTATGAGCTGGTTGATGGTCACCCTGAATGTGCCGGGCAACTACTAACTTCATCTAACTTCCCCAAAAGCAAAACCACCACAAAACAAGGTCCAAGTGCAACAGTGGTGGGGTGGCTGAGGCCCGGTATACCATTCATCATGAAATTCATAACGTTCATGAACAACATTAAACAGCCAAACTTTCAACATGTACCAACCAGTGAGCAATCTTTACCTATTGGTCCTGGAAAGAAGTGGCACCCATACATAGCGCATACTTTTCACTCACTTTTGGTGCACAAATGCATACATACGCATTCAACATGCCTCAAAAAAAACAAGCTTATATCCGGATACATGAGTTTACAAGATCCAAACCGCTGACCCCTGAACGACCCCTTATTCCTTTCCACCATTTGTCTCACCTCCGCCCGGCCGCAGCTCAAGATCTTGGTGAGCGCCATGAGGCTCCAAATGAAGTTCTTGCCGATGAGCATGGTTCGACCTGGTCGCACCGTTCGACCGGCGCCGCAAGGTGGGGGGGGAACACATGTCCAAATGCCCCCTGTGCCACATGGAGACCCCGTGTCGTGCGACCTTTCGTGCCGATCTTCCCCTCAAGATCGTTCAAGTCCAAATTCATTAATTCCTGGGTGACGGTTGTGACCCATGCCGTGCATGCCCGCTTCACAAAACAAGCAAAAAACGATCAATGGGCCCGAACGTTTGATATTATATAATCATTGCACTTGCAAGTTCTGACATGCTTCTTGCCTCAACACACAGCAACTCCCGCCTCCCCAGGAGAGGAAATCCAATTGGAAGGAATTCAAGAAAAGGCGCCAAAGCAGAAAGGGCAGCTGCAAGCACAGTAAAGATCTCCCGGCGTCGATCACTCGAGCCCTGCGCTCCTGAGATTCTTGTCACTCCGTCTTTGGGTTTCCACCCCGAAACAGACACTGCCACCGCAACGGTCTACACACATGCGTTCCTAAGCAGAGTCTCAAAGTCAGCATCCCAAATTGGGTGCAAGTAATGTATAATGACATATAATGACAATCAAATACTTATGAGTTGGGAGTACCAAATACTTATCTATGGTTTCATGACTATAGAATTATGATAACTTCTAAGTATACAGATGTATACAGTGTCCACTCGGAGGGCCACGTCGTCCATTCGTTTCTTCGTGCCATCACCGGATGTCCCACGTCGCTGCCCAGGCTCAAAGCGCTCAAAGGAATTCCGTCCCTGTCGGAACTCCTCCAAATGCCTCAAAGGACTGAACCCGGCCCAGTCCCGCCCTTCGGAATAACTGGTGCGCCATGGAGAACGGATCCTGTTGGATCCGGTTGGTTCACTTGGAAAAAAGCATCTCCTCTAGCTAATCCGAGAAGAGAACCCACCAATAGCAAAAAGGCGATCTATGAATCATGAAGTGCCAGTATTAGAACCGATTCCATATCCCTCAATATGTTTGCTGTCAATTAACTATTTTAACTAATTACTCCCAAAGCTGACCGTAAACGTAGAAACTTGATGAAACTGGTATAAGTCCTGATTGATCATCAATCTGCATTTCCTCCTCCCCCTATTGACAGTTTGATTGGTACAAAAAGCATGCTCACCATCGTTTTTGTTCCCATACCCCATGCATATCCAATTCCCAATTGAAAGAATCGAAGCAAATCTCCCCCCTGAAAAGAAAGGAACCCAAGTCTGCCCAGTGGCAACCAACCTGAGCAGCAAGGACCAAGCTCCTCATCCTTTGAGAGGTCGGGCAGTAACCTCACTGTGCACTCTGGACATCGGATTCTCTCTGGGTGCCTGGTCTGATGGCCCCCACACACGAGACCCCGAGACCCCCCCACCTGCACGCTATACCGGGCTGGAGCCGCGGACAGGGCGGAGGCGACGCGGACGAGACGCGGTCAGACGTGGCATGGGGTGCGAGTCTGGTCGGTCTGTGATGGTGAACTTGTCAGATTAGGAGGTGTCACTGACCAGATATTGGTGCCCGTTGAAGTTAATACATTTTGCGTGTGGGATACTAAACCACCATGGAACGCCGATTTGCAAAAGTCAGTACTTAAGTCAAGACTGCTGGCCTTCCCCATTGTAAACGCTACATACAGAACAAGGTTCTCCAGATTCACCTTTCCAAATACCCCACGAATGTAAGAACATACCCCATTTGGACAAGCACTTTTTCTCCTAGATTGTTTCTAAACCTACACTATTCCATTGCGATTCAACCTTCTACATGTTGATGTTTTCAATTGTTATCTATGGGTTGCCGTGATCCAATCCCCATGGCACCCCGATTCTGACCCACATGTTGGAACCAGCTTTAAGTTTCTACCTGGAGTGCAAGCAGCATGGAATTGTTCTTTAAACGTCAAAAATATCTATGCATTCTTGTGTGTATTCCTCTAATGATAGGGTTTGTGCAACAACAGCCAGCAGCAAATGAGTTGAGTAGGCTTTGTAGCGCAGGCAGCGGCAGCGGCAGCAGCAAGCAGCAGCCAACCAGCAGCAAAACAACACCAACAACCCAACAGCAGCAGAAGGTAACCAGCAGCGGCCAAACAGCAGCAGCAAGCCGCCAGCAGCAAGCCAGCAGCAGCCAAACAGCAGGCAGCACCAAGCCAGCAGCAGCTAACCAGCAGTATAGTAGCCAACCAGTGCCAGCAAGCCAGCAGCAACTGGCAGCAGCCGACCACCAGCAGCAAAACAGCGCAGCGCAGCAGCAGCAGGAGCAGCAGCAGCAGCAGCACCCAACCAGCAGAGGCTAGAAACCACATCATCCCATGGCACACCGTTTTCACCAATCCCACATCACAGGAGCAAATCCCACGTTATCCCCATGGCACATCGGCTTCCGATCTCTGCCAGAAGTATGCTAAGACCACGAAAAAACCATGGTTAGCTTGCGCTTTGCCTTCTTTGGTGTCTGTGTGTGTGCGCGTTCCTGTCTTTCAACGACTGTGCAGGACAAACTTCCGCATGGCACACCTGCGAAAAATGTGAACATGAACGCTTGAAAACATGAACCCTGCAAACCGCTCATTGCCGGGGGGGCCCATGTAAATTGAAGAGGCCTTTGCTTATATACACATATGTGTTGCGACAATGGCAATCCCCATCGCACACCTCTGGAGGTCCTGGTGCCTGGTGGGTTGGGCGAGATAGAGGGCGAGATGTGGGCGAGGTATTGGGCGAGATGAACACGTTTGCCCAGAAGACCCATGCCCACTAACACCCAAAAAAAAGTCCTTGCAATGCAGCTGTGGCTACCAATCAAAACTGGGACACCACGCCGCGACTAAGTCACAGCAACGTCCTTGCGATACTTGTTTCCGCATGGGGCACCGCGTTTCACCAAACAGGCCTGCCACCAAGCTTGATATCACGTTTCCAATGCCCCGTCTGCAATGGAAGAAGCCTGCTATAATCATAGGGCGTGCAAGACTATGACAGGCAGCAAATGAGTAGGCCTTGTAGCCCAGGCCGCAGCAGCGGCAGCGACAAGAAGCAGCAAGCAGCAAGAAGCAGCACCAGCAGCAACCAAGCAGCAAGCAGCAGCACCGGCAGCAATCAGCCAGCAGCAGCAGCAGCCAACCAGCAGCAAACCAACAGCAGCCAACCGCCAGCAGCAGCAGCGGTAGCCAACCAGCAGCAGCAAGGCAGCAGCAGCAGAAAACCAGCAGCAGACCGGCAGCACCAGCGAAGGTAGCCCAACCAAGCTTTCCCCCAAGGGCACACCTCACCTGGCACAAGTTCATGCCACTCAATAGTGTGCCCGCTTCACAGCGGAAGCCAGGTTTCCACGAGGACCCTGCTTCCGAGGGTTGGACATATGAGACCCAAATCCCAAGATGAGGGGGAACCTATGGGCTGCCTATAGAAACCTCTAGAAACAACCTATGGGTTGCCTGCCAACTTCCTTGCGGTAGGTCTTGTGCAATCAAAACACTGTGAACGCTGAGTAAAACAAGCCCATTGAATAAAACCATGCATTTAGAAAACATCTTCCAACACACTCTATCCTGCAAGGAAACGCTATAGTGTATCGACTTCCTGGTTTGCTCATCACCTTCTATCTGCTATTTGAAAAAAAAAAACACGTCTCGACTTCAACAACTGGCAGTATGTGCTAGGATGTGCCTCCGCTGTGCGCAAGCACTGATGGGGAAACAACCAAAGGCGGAGTAGGAAGGAAAGGAAGAAAGCGTGCCATTTGGTTGGCAGTGCGTCATGGTCCAAATCCCATGTGCGGAAACGCCCCATCGACCGGTTCTTTTGAGCCGACCGCGGGGTGCCTCCCACGACCGGCTTCCGCCCGACCCCATGACATCCCCCTCTTTGCTGGGCAGCTCGTGCAATTGAAAGATGCCTTCCTCCGGCTCCATGTCATCCAAGAAGTGCACCTTGTACGCACCCTTCTGGGCACACACAGCTCGGCCAACACGAAAAACTGGACCACTGCAAAGAAGATCACGACAAGCATAGCTGCGCCCATCTTCATCTTCCTCGAACAGTTCCTGCTGGACCATCACGTGGTGTCCATCCTTGCAAACATGTTGTGGCCCCAAAACAGCCAGTATGAATGAGAAGTTTGGTAGAATCTACTGGAAGTCTGCCATATTCTAACTTGGCCAATTTCACTGGGGCACCTCCAGTGTTCCAGTTCAAACACACATAACAAACATAACACCGGCCACTGACAGACGAGCGCATGTCTCCGCTCGTAAGCTACAAAAGAACGGCCGCCAAGGGATGGTACTCCTCCCTCTCATGTTCATAGCTGGAACAATAATGGGCACCGTGCTTTTGGCACTTCTTGCAGGAAGTAGCCGAAGTAAGATTCTGATGGCAACCACTAAATAGGTAATTGAGTCTGGGTGTCTTCTGTAGACTGGAATTCTGCAAGCTCTGCATCCAGCAAGGCCTCTTCCTCTTTCACAGGCACCAATGCAGTGTAGATCAAGCATGACCAAATGGAGGAAAGGAAGGCTACAACAAATGTTGCATACCTGGGACAGCAGCAAAAGTCCAACAACACCACTTCAAAAGGCCCCGGAAGATTTTGGGAGGCTGAAGCCGCCAGAGCCATTCACCGTTGCCTTGCCCCTATTCACCCATGCCCCCTTCCAAGGCAACTTTCCGATGCAGCACGCGCTACACTCCGACTCATTTTTCACATCGAAGAGGATCGCAGGGAGCACTAGTCTGTTCTCTAACTAGGCTTGGAACGCAACAAACCAGGCACCTAGTTTGGTGTCTAGAAACAGCTTGAAACAGCACCTAGTCTGGTGTCGATGTCACCTAGCCCCATCCAGCCACCTGATCCGCCCAGCTGCACAGCATGGAAGCGCCAAACGTTTCGCAGCTCAGGCCGCCCCAGGCTCGAGATCCCATAGGCTGGACCACGGACATAGGGTTCCAAAAGGTTTTCACTGAAGACCACTGCCTCATCAAAAACGAAAGAAATTCTGGATTCTGCTCTAAAAACCAAAGTTAAAGGAATATATTGTAGGAATATTCCGTTGAGTGGTGTAGAGTGTAGGACTACTTGCCATCCTTTAACAGAATGGGCAATTAAATGTGTAATTATGAAGGCATCCTCCAAGAAGGCCTGTGGGTACACCATAGTGATCCATGGTGGACACCACAATCTGTATCAAACACTATGAGCTGTGGCCATGGACTTCCTTCATCCACTACTCTACGTCCAATCGCCCAATCACCCCTTTTGTTGGTCGTACTGCGAACCCCCCGCCCGCTCTAATGTAGCAACTCACAGCTCAACGGACAATTGGAACATGTTCTCCTCCAAATCGGTGCTATCCCAAACATTCTATTGCCAATAGTATACATCATGCAATGAAAAAACAATGCATCATGTATGAAAAATAATGCATCCTGTATGGCATATTATATGCCCATTTATTTACCCATCAGTTGGGCTGGTTTGCGGGGTGAACGTGGGAAGTGCCTGCCGAGGCACATCGAGGATGTCCAGCCAGGAATCGTGCGTGAATTCGGTGCTGCCGACGCCACCGGCAAAGTAGCCATGGCGCAAGACCCAACCCACCAACCTCGGAGAAAAAATACAAAAACATATAATAACAAAATACATCAAAAGACTAAAAACATCTAAACATATGATAACACATGATAGAGCGAGGTGGACTAACATCTTTGACTCTACCGTCGGTCGACCTAGCGTCGGTCTGAGACGTACGGAGTCGTAGTCACGGTGCCTTCTTCATCGTGCTGCAGTCACCCCCGGAGGCTTCAAGGGGTTCAATCCCGATTCAATATAGTGGGTTGAGAGTAGATGGTACAATCCCCAAGTTAGGTGGTTTATATGGATCCCTATATAAAAGACATCTTGGGGTTTGTGCCATCTACTCTCAATCCACTGTACTTCAAAGATGATCCACCGATCGCGTTCTGCTCGTCTCAGCCACACATCAACATGAAGAGCAGAGTTGATGTTTCAATGGCGGGCAAGCAAAGCATCCACAGCTCGATTGGTGGTTCTCATCTATATCGAGGATCAATCTCATTGCCTTTTGGATTGTTGGATGATGTTGGATGCTTCTCGGTCGGCGAGTGATTGCGCATTTTATAGGGAGACCCTCTGGCCCAATCGGTAGACTGGTCTATTTCCCTTGCCTGGGAGGTCTCCCATGGTCTCCACACCGATGTGGGAACCACACTTCCATTGCGGCTCGGGGGCAAAATGGCCAGCCATTTGATGATCATAAAGACCAACCTCACAGAACACCGGACTCCCAGCAACGTCCTCAGCCGAATCGTGACATCGAAACAGACTCGTGACATCGAAATCCACAAATTTCGCGGAACCGTGTGGCGCACAAATAGTACCCCTGATGACCCCTACACCCCCACTGGGGCGGAATGTGCACGCGGCCTCTCTCAACCGCACGGAGCGTGCTATCTACCGCTGCGTGGCAACCACCGCTAGTGCTATCTAAGCCGTTAGAACCTCAGCAATCCTACACAATGAGTTCAAAGGAACTTAGGAGAGGCAACAGGAAAAGCATCTCAAATGAAGGCCAACGGGTTTCTGATATGTCTTTTTTTTCGCCGTGGTGCATGCGAGGATTACCCATCTTCAATGTCTCAGAGATGCAGCAGGCTTGACCTTGAACTTCGATGGAGGAGACGCAGTCCCCAACGACATAGTGGTGCTGCGGCACATAGGGCAAGCTGCAATTGCTGGAGACGCCGAAGTCACAGGCCTCCTGGAGGGTCTGAAAATGAACACCCAACGCAATTATATAAACGAATGTAACGTGTGTCGGCTGGCCCTTGTGAACTCCACTTGTCAAATCGTGAGAACACAACACAACAAGCGGTAAGCAGCTGAAGCAGCCGAGTGTCGTACCTCCATCTGTTTTTCATGAGGCAGTTTGTGAGGCTGGTGTGGTTCTCAAAGAACACCGGCGTGTTTGAGAGACCCACGTGCACATGATGGATTCTCTCAACATAACTGGCCGCATCATAGGCCAAATAATAAACCTGAAGAACAGTCAGGCTCGCCTGATATGATGAACATGTCAGGCTAAGGTGGAGGGGTGGAGGTAGGGACTGAAACCATTGCCACTGCAAGTATAAAGCTGCAAGGGGGCCAAGCAATAATATGTTACAATATATATCAATATATGCAACCAATTTGGTCAATCTTACAACATTGACGGCATGGAAGTTTTGAACGTTTTCTTCATACCTGGCGGCCGACAAGTTGAAGAGCCACTGGGTCGTCCCGCAGAACATGTAAAGGATCGTCACCACCCGCCCGCTGCGACGATGCAAAATAGCTCGGTGTGAGTAGAGCAAGCACAAGCAACGACCCAGCACCGAGATTCCAAAGACAGTCCACAAGGCCTGAGACAAGTGAGATGAGCAACTCATGCAGCTCATCTCAGTTGACCTGGCTGGGCTGGACTTACCATGACTTCAACTGCAACACCAAAGTCATCCAAAGTCCAAAAGCCCGGGGAGGACTATAGATTCCCACGGGCACACTTCAACACATCATGCCAAAACAATCCGAAAGATATCGACTATCTCAGGCCCGGCTTTGCTTATGAGATGCTCCCATGCACATTTGGTGTCAAAAAACTGAGTAGCGCTTAGTAGGAAATCTGAAATCGCAGGGCAAAAGGCACAGCATTCAACGAACGATCGTTCCACCCCTTGGCATGAGTCCCAGAATAAGGCTTGGCCCTTGACCACCCGCAAAATCACCCAAGTCACTTGAACAATGAACTCCTCCGAGACGTTGAAGAGTGGTGACTTCTCTCGTGTGCTTTCCGCCATCCACCGCGTCATCAACGACGCGAAGGCCACCTCCACGAGGATGCCTGTGACGAACGGCGTCCGCGTGGCGTTCAGCCGGTGTGCCACGTCCTCGCCGAAGCGCCGCGCGCCCTCGGACGGCTCCGAGTCGCTGTCGACCGGCTCCATCAGGCGATTTGACACGTGCCGTGACGGGGAAGGAAGGAGTACGAAGTGAACTGTCCCATACAGCCTGCAATCTGCACCAACAAATGTCGAATCATGGAATGATCATGCAGTTTATAGGGTAGTTTGTACGGGATGTTCGGATCTTGATCTGCATCAGCATGACGCAATTCCCTCATGTACCCACGTCTCCCATGGCATGGGTGGCATGATGTCTGGTGAGTCTTGTTGTCTTAGTTGTCTCCTTGAAGAATCAGTTGCCAACGTGATTATGCGGATTTGGGACAAGTCGCCACCATATGAAAATCTATGGAGCAAGCAGCAAGCTTGAATCAATCGGTTCTCCAGAACTTTCTTCATCGCCGATGTACACCTAAATTGCATATGTATATTTGCATATGAATAATTATGAATCTATAGTATTACAATGCAGATGTTGTCAGAAGAAATTACTTTACTGCCGCACCCACATGGGGTACCTACCCAAAAAACGGAACAATTAACCTGAAATCATTTGGAAAAATATTTCAGGTATGTAACCCTACTCTTAAATTAATTTCCTAAGGTTGAGGGTAACAATGCAGTGTTGCATGGTGGCTTGTACTAGACATGCGCATTGGATCCGCCTCTGCATGCCGCAGCAAAATGGATCGTGCCACTTGAGCCGTCAAATCTGCATAGCTGTGGGTCGTATTTGTTTGGTGATCCCACCGGCCCAAAGCCCATGCCACGTCAGACAAGATGCGCTGGTGGCTGCATCATGACACGCTCCACAGCTACCCGCCATCGTTGAACTATGTGAATGTCGCATTTACAGTTGTCAAATTTAGATATCAGGCGAGGCGGGCATGCCTTGCATACACAGATAGACAGACAGATAGACAGACAGACAGACAAACAGATAGATAGATAGACAGACAGACAGACAAACAAATAGATAGATTGATAGATAGTAGTATGACCAGGACTTAGACTAAGCTTTGTTTGCCAAGACCAGGCTACAAACCCGGAAGCCAAATCCTGGAACCGTTCCATGAGGGCGATGCAGGCATTGGAGCTGTGCCTAAGGCTGGCACCAGAACCATGTTCAACAGAACCCACCTGGGCCGTGGCACTGTTGCGGCCAGAATCACGGCCGAATACGGCCACACAACTCATACATGAATGGGAATCTCATGGAACCTCCCGAACTTTCATCATATATCCTTCCCCCCTTTCCAGCATGGAAGTGGAACCCCCTCCCATTTTTAGCCGAAAATGCTGGAACATGGATGAACCTGGTCTTTCGCCAGGGCCTATCGTCCACTTCAGGTGCTGCGTACTTTCGCTCCAACCGCTCCCAACCGAACCGAACCAGGCGATCGGCGGTCCTCGGTCCGTCGGTCGAAACGCCAAGTGGCTGAAGTCCTCGAAGCCTGTCCTCAACCAAGGGTGGCTCAAGCAGATGAACACATTGGGTCCCCTGGGGCCCAACACATCTGAAACGCAACACCACTGAAAGCAAGGCTCTTCGATTCATCATGCTCACCACATCGCCGAAAAGGGTTCATGTCTTGAAGGAGCACTGGCCCACACACAAGGAAGACCAACTGCCCATTTTTCGATTGCTAAGCATCCCATGTTTCGAAGCACCCACATTGACCGCCTAGGCTCTTTGGTCAGTTGGGACGCATAGAGACAGGTGCCCAGTACCATCCCCAGCAGGGCAGCAAAGCTGGTCGCTGACAATCGCAAGGGCCGTGGATAGCACCTGGGCTGATAGTCGAGGCCGTGCGACTCGGGTCATCAGACCCGGTGGCATCAATCGGGGTGGCTTCAGACCCGGTGGCAAATCCAGGTGCACCTCATTGCACCTCACCTCAATGGACGTGTTCTGATGGCCAAGGGAGTTCTCTACTGACCTCTTTATATCAAGCATTCACCCACCCTGCCACCCTGCCCGCAGAGTGGCCGGGGCGCAAGACTTCAATGGGAAGGGAGAGCAAGGGCGACAGACAGCGAAACACGATCACCAACGTCATGGAAGCATTCCTGAGGCGTTGCCCGTTCGAGGCGGGACTGGGTATAGGTGGTGGGTGCGAAGGTGTTCTAGAAATATGTTAAAGACTGTTAAAGACTGTTAAAGTTGTTCTGGTTTCCGGGACTGGACATGAAGTTTAGTCCGCAAAAAGACCTTCCAAAGGTCTGTGATGTGTATGCTGCGCAGTAGTTGAAATCAGGGTTGCTGGGCCACTGGCTGGTTGCACTGCGTGGAAGAGTTCTTCCAGCATGATCCAGGATTCCAAAGCTAAAAATGAATCAACCTTAAATCCCGAGTTGGCCTAGCGGCCTAGCATGACAGCGACGGACAAAGGCCCAGTGTGCAGACCCACGGTCGACGCGAAATGTGCGACCCTTTGCGTGTTGAGGACACATCATCGTCGTTCCATGATGCACCGAATGGAGGAAAACGTGCATTGAACCGCTCTGGTCCAGAGCCGCAATTCCCGAAGTGTCGGCTCAACATCTTTCCAAGCAGGGGACCTCCCACTACCAGGACAAACACTACCACAGTCAGCAGGGTTGGAACCTCGCTGGAAGTGAGCGACTCGGTGTCAAGCTGTTCAAGAAGGCTGCACAATGGATCTGCTACCACGTTTTGATGCTTTTGAAGTGAGTTCTCTAAAGCTATAATTACGATAATTACCGTGCATACGCCCCCCGGAACAGTGGCGGCCACAAGTGTTTTCTGACAAAACCTTCGCGTAATTGCAACCTGGCCACTTCAGCGCTAGCATGGAGGTGAGCAACATCCCCGAGAAGAAGGGCGTGACCAAACACCAGCCTTAGGAAGTGTTCAACTTCTAAAGTGGGAGTCTCAGCTTGTGGCCCACCAGACTGGTCTTGTAAAGCCCCCGACTGGCACCATGCCAAACAGTCTGGAAGAAAATGGGGTTTGAGCATGACATCCTCTACCAACTGTGCCTGTTCCAAGGGAAGCCTGGACACCGACATTGCCGGGCATGTTGCCAGCAGCTAGCTGCTAGCTCGTATGTTTCATCAATAATACGACCACCCGACCCGATTCGGCTAGATATAGTATGAGCATCATCCACATCAAACAGGTCAAAATACCGGTGAAACGCACTGAGCTCGGTAAAACCTGGCATCCCCAAATCTTCCGGTAATCGCTCCACAATGGCGAATAGCAACATGCTTCACATTCAACAAACCTTCAAGCACATGCTCCTTCTGGCCCTATCAAGAAATCCTCAAGTAAATGGTCAAAGTTTCAATCATTGCACAATTCTTCAAAATTTGGGTTGCAACCTAAACTATCTTCGGTTTAGGTTGCAACCTTAATCAATTTAGGCCAATACACCAAATTTTATTCGCAAATTGTCAATTACAATGCAATACGTCAATTCTTCGCTTAGTAAATTGATATGCAAATGTTGCAGGCTCAGGGCTGTGAATGTTCCCAGCCCCGGCAGAACTGCTGGAGAACGCCTTCAGTCCCGAGATGTCCCGAGAACCGACGATCGGCGCAGGCGTCTGCTTCTAAAGCCCACCTAGAAATATAAGGGCTCCAACGTGTGAAAATCGGGCATCGTTGCAAGATCATACTTGATCTGGCAAGTATATAGCTCTTTGATGTATGGGAACACGACGAGTTGGAGTTTGCACAAAAGCTAAGAAGCGACGCTTGGGCAGATTTGAGTTCATGCGGTCTTTTTCAACTAAAACCGCGCACCGCCTCTTTTTCCTGAAAATTGGTTGGATGGACGAAGCTCAAAACAGCCAAGAACTCATCGAATGCCGTGTCCACCCCTTCCAACTACTAAGTGCTCTACTAAGTTTAAGCCGATGAACATTCCAACTCATTCAAACGATGCATCTAAAGCACAAGAAACGTCCACCCATCCCCCAAAAACTGGAAAGAAGAAGAGCAGCAATTCCAAATTGAATGGCTGCTAGGCCCTGCGCAAACTGAATGCCTTGCAATGGGGCCACAAGGCACACCACAAGTGAATAAGTCCTTTGCACAAACACCCTGCTAAGCACATGCGCATGCCTGTGGCAATTGTTTGCATGCATTTAGGGTAATGTTCGCAACCAGGGAGGAGGCTCTCCACAGGTGCAAAAGCTGTTGCCATGGCAACAACGTCCTGCTAGGTACATGCTGCATTGTTGCGCGAAGAACTGTGGTGTGTAGAATAAATGCTCTGCAATCGAAAGAAAGACTGCTTAGTAACGGCGACACATGGCACACTACGAGCGAACAAACTGTTGTGGTTGGCTTTGGGGCGCATCTAACTGTGGCAGGCAAAAGGGCACGCCGCAAGTGCAAAAAACTGTGGCAGAATCTTCATGCAAGGTACGCGCAACTACCTGCGGCCTTGCTGCGCATACAACATGTTGGCGCTGCGACGAGAGAACCTGTTGCATAAACGAGGCGCCCTGCTGAGTACCACAGAGCAAAGATGCCCATAGAACGTTAAGTGCGAACAAACGCTGTACGCGCAACAGCCTCTGGGCTTCCTGTGCGAGCAACGTGCGCCCGACGACGATTGAAGGCACCAAGGTGACAGCGCCGGTTCCAACGTTCCAGGGTTCCAGGCGCTTGCGGCATGCGCCCGGGTTAAGGGAAGAATTCCGGACTTCGGACGCCGGCAGCCGAGATTGAAGCCCAACTGTGCCCAATCCGAGTCAGCCTCAAATCTTAAAGTGCAATCAGATCCACACCAGCCAGGTTTAAGGTGGCTGCCACGAAAATCAAGGCCTCACAGTATCTCCAATAACTGCCCTCCGCGAACGCAGCACACAAGGCTCCAAACAGCGCCCAGGTTTCCAGCAGGATGGAATTCCGGTTTTGGAGCGCCGTGGACAAACTGCCCACCACTCCAAGCCCAAACAACCCCAAACAGCACCCAAGGCACCTAGGGTTCCACGGGCCAACAGCGCACCACTCCCAGCCCCAGAGATTGAAACTCAGCTGCATTCTGCTGTCAACTCTCAACTCGCCATTCCGACAATCCCAAAGAGCAA